CACTGAAGCCTCAGACCTTGCTTGTGAGAATTAAATGTGGAGCGACTGCCGTGAAAACCAACCCGGGAGTCACATACACTGATCAGTGATTTCACTTACACAAAAATGAGAAGAGATGCAAACCTGAGTGTTCACGCCAATACTCATGTCTGTCCACATATGATCATAATCAATTGCGATGTAAGTGTATAGCGGCATTCCACCAAGCAAAGAGCAATGCACTGATACATGCTGTGATATCAAAAGACCTCAAAAATGCCACACAAAAGAAGCCAAACACCAACGCTTATGTATTGTATAGGCATATCTAAGTCTATGGACACAGAATATCAATCGGCAGCTACTAGTGGTAGGGTAGGGCAGACTGTAACATGGGTGTAGGATTTATCTCCACTGTGCAAACAGGAATGTCTTAAAACTAAAGGACAGCATGACAGCACTGTGGACGTATCAAATGCCACTGAGCTAGTCACTCTACAATGATCAGTGTGGTTCTATACATTACCTCAAAGAATTTCATTTAAAAATTGATGGAAAAGATTGAGCAGGATGGGGAAAACCCGAATTCCTTGCAATCAGGAAGGATACATGAGGACTGATCTAACTAGGCCAGACTAGGCTATACAACAAGTTACAGACCACCAGGGATACCAAAAAAAAAAAAAAAAAAAAATTTAACAAATGAAAAGCTCAGGAAACTGCCACCAGAAGACCTGACTTTTAAGAAATGTCCAGAGTCGTCATGCAGATAAAAAGAAAATAATTTAGGACAGAAACTCAGAACTAGTCTGTTTTTCCACTTTCCAGACTGATCTATTTGTTCAATGAAAAGGAGTGATTACTGGGTGACTACAAGTTAGGATAAGAAAAATGAGTGGCAACATGTTATAACTCAAATATTATAAGAGACGGGTAAGAGGACTGGCAATCCTTCACCAGTACCTGCACTGGCCAGGACAGAGTTCTACGTTACTGGACTCAAAAGAAAATTTAAAAAAAAATATTTTGAAAATCAAACCACTAGTCTTCAAAATTTGTAGGATGTAGCAAATCTTTATGGTCGACCTATTTTAGATAGCAAAACATCATGAGTTAATTACTTGGACAAGGTGGGGAAATGGGATTTTTTTAAAAAATAACTTTATAAAGTTGGAGAGAAAGACAGAATTAGTAGGCATTGCCCAAAGCAATCCACATACAGTATCATGTTTTAACTTCATCACAACCCTAAGTTGTGGTAACAGAATCCCTATTTTCATTGAATTTCTTCTTGCTCAAAGTAACAGAAAACTAGACCCACAATAGATGCAGCCCTGGGCTAGCTCCAGGGCTCAAACTACATCACCCATCTTGGACTGTGTCCAAATCCCAATTCTGCCATTTCCTGTATAATCTTCCTTCTAAAGTTCACCTGGTGGCCCCACACCTCCAGGCTCTTACCCCATGGTGCTCACGGAGCAGATGCAGCTGCAGTTTCGTGTCTTTTCTTGTTCCCACATTCAGTAGGAAGAATTAAAGGAATTTTCCGATGACCCCCTCCCCCAATAAAAACCAGTTGAGTTCCTGTGACTAGCCCAGCTAGGCCAGGTCCCCAGTCCGCACCTTATGATATCATGATGATGGTTCATTATAGTACCAGAGTTTCTAACTAGTTTAGATTGGCCACATGTTCAGTTACAGAATAATGTCCAAGGCTACTATTGGGGTAATTAATAGATATCCCATGGCAGGATGCAACAAGGCCCCTTTGAAAACAAGAAGCCCATAGTTCAGGAAAATAAAGCAACTTGCTAAAATTCCAACATCCAGAAAGTTTGAGTGTAGGTTTAAACTCAGGTCTAGCTAATGGCATCCAAAAACTTTACCCTCTTACACTTCAATAAAATCCAGTCTTAAGACAGCAAAAAGGTGGACTTACTGCTCTCACTGAAACATGAGCTCAGATTATACTATTTCTTGAAAGCACCTGAACGACCATGTGAAATTCATAACTTAAAACTAACTCATTGTGAATTTGACTTTTAAAACAGTTGGCCTGCTTTTAATCTGCTTCTACAAGCCTCAAGTAGTAAGAGCCAATTCAGAAAGTTCATTGCCAACGACAACAACAACAACAAAAAAATTATAACTTTTTAAGTGGAGTTTTAAAATTATATTGTTCCGAAGACTTATCATGTATACCAGATTTATATCGACTGTGGGGACTTTTTAGTGACAGAAAGCCAATCTTCCTGCTCAGTAACTTCTGTAGACTTTACGGAGGACCTCGCATTCTTGTGTTTTCTCTGCACTTGCAGGTGAATTGTATACAATTAAAGGTGCAACAAAGTCACTGTCATTCCGGGCAGGAGAAAAATCAATACACTATTTCTGCTTGGTATCAGTAAGTGAGAGACTTTTAAATGATCCCAGGGGTCCAAGCCTGGTTGAATGGACAGCGGGGGTGCAGATTTAGAGGGGTAGGAGGAGATGTCATGGAGTGCAGAAAGGCTAAGTATCACTGAAGCCGCAGGGACAGCTCCCTCCACCCTCACCTTCAGAGAAGTCTTGAGACCCTAGAGCTCAGAAGGAGCCGCTAGAGGGGGCGAACGTGAAAAAGCCTGCACCCGGCAACACACAACAGGCCACGATTACCGGGAGCCCAGGCTGGACAATGCAACCATCGTGAGGTACAGTAGGAAGCCGGGTGGCAACGCCACAACGCTCGCAAAACAGTCGAGGGGCCGCTATGAAATCTTCCGACTGAGGAGACGACAGAAAGCCCACTACAAAGGGCCGCCAAGGTCAGCGCATCCTTGGGACGCACTCGCAGCCTGGCCGGAGCGCTGCGGAAAGGACGCCGGACAAACACCACACAGCCGAGGAATCGGTGGGAGAGCCCGCGCCAGCCACACTTACACGCCCAGGGCGCGCGCCTCACGACGACGTAACAACACCGGCGTCCGGACGCTGACGACATGCGAGGGGCGGAGCCATGACGTAAGCGCGGAGCAGCGAGCCGCTCGCGGCAGGTGAGTCTAAGGGGACGTCTGGGCTGCGAGTAAGGGGGTGAGCAGAGGGGAACCGGCGAGCATGCGCACGGAGGGCCAGGCGGAGCCGGCGCGCGTGCGCACTTCTTAGTGCAGCGGTCGCTGGTTGCCGTAGCAACGAGGACCAGTTCTGAGAAGGTGCGGCTGAGAGAGGGGAAAGGCGGGTGAGAGTTTGATCCGCAGCAGCGCTGTCGGACGGATAAAGAAGCTCTGGTGCAGAGGGGACGAACGCGGGGTAGAGTTGGGGCGGGAGGTCCGGGTCACTGTGGGCGGTCCGCGGCTCCTGCCTGCCTGCGCGGCGCGAGGCTGCGATGTGGCCAGGGACCTCACGGACCAGACGTCCAACGACTTTATCTCTGGGGGCGTATTTTAAACTTCTATGCCGTCGCTCCAGTGCATTTCTATTGACGCGTGTATTAATTGCCTTCTGATCACTGAAATCAATTGGTGATGGATTAAATGTCTTGTCTCCTAGTCCGGTGTTTTCCTACCTGGCACAACCTTCTAACCGTGTGCAAGCTAATTACAAACAGGCAGTTTGCTCTTGTGGCTGTTAGTGCCAGGCAGAGGTTATTTATTTCTCACCTGTTGCCAGACTAAAGGATCACCTCTTCTCATTTATGGTTTCTCATACAGTTGGACTACATCTGGCACGTTTCGTTATTCTTTAAATTATACAGTTTTAATTCTTTAAATTATACTAGAGAACTCTAGTGAGGCAATTTTTTTTAATGTTCTTACCTTGATATTAGTCACAACGGCACAATAAATTATAGACTAAGTAGCTACCTATGGTTAATGATGGTAAGAATCTTGTTGAAAAAGTGAACTTTTTTTTTAATGATGTATACTTGGTCGTTACCAAGTTACAGGCATTTTGAATTTGGAAAATAATAACAGTGACCTTTCAGTATTTTATATGCCTTCCTCCAACCAAGGCCACGGTAAGGAATACTGCATACAAACTTCTTTCATAGATCTTCATGCCAGCATTGAAAAGTACCGAGAAGGTGAGCACATTGAAAACTGCCCTAGGCTTCCGAAGGATCTGAACAGCGGCTGGTTCTTTCCTTCGTCTTAAATCAGGTGTCTCACACATTAGTTTCTACGGGACTCACTTTCCTGGAATCATTTCAAGTGTTTGTTGCAGTGCTGGGGGTAGAACCCAGGGCCTCATGTATGCATGAACAGCTGCTCTGTGTGCACCTTTCTGAAACTTAGTCCTTAATACTATTCCATTATGTTGCTTTTTAAAAAGGTGCTTTTTCTCTCCACTGTAGAATATCGTGGACAGCAATGGTCCCAAAACTAAAAAGGTCAATAACAAATATGACCCCCCATTTTTAAGGGACTGGGAGCAGCAGTAACCATTTATGACTGTCTTGGGCAGAACAGTCCCTTGTCAGCCCTCAGGGAGGTTATCGTTTGTATAATCCTGCAATGTCAGCATTTCTGTGTATTTTATAAATGCAAAACTGAGCCAGAGATGTTTAAGTAGCTTGCCCAGAAAAGTAGAAAGCAGATTGGGACCCGGTATCTGTCCCCCCATATTCTGTCTGCCTGTGCATTGGCCAGGCTGAAGGTGGTCAGCGTGAGCCATACACCCACCTTCTTCACTGTTCCCCTTCTTGTCAGAACACAAACAGCACGCTGCTTTCCTGGGCGTCTCTGTTCTCTCTTGCTCCTGCCGTCTAACGCACATTTCCCTCTAGAAGACGTGGGCTAAATGTTGTCCTGAAGGGTCGTTCATTTATGTCTCATTCTGGTCCAAGACTCTGCTCTAAGACTCTGTTTTTGATTCTAGATTGTTCTTTATGGTCAAGTTCTTTCTAGCACCGTTGGTAAGCTGTTTGAGGACAGGGGTGGATTGGGCTATGACTATAAATTGGACAGCACGCTGGCATTCGTGTTACCGTCTCCATAGCCCTAACTGATCTGGATGTTTACATACACTCTTACTTTATGTTACAGCAGAAGAAGGGAAGTTACAGTGATGTGATGCTAGAGACTGTTAAAGCCACACCACAGTGTTTCCTGATACAACATGATAAAGAATAAGGTATCCCATCCTCCTCTGAACCGACCCATGCTTTTATTTACGGGGTGTAGTCTAACTGGACTTTCTTCAGGTATAAATAGTTTACAAACCTTGTGTTCTTGGGGAACTGTGAGCAGGAGTGGGAGGTGCATGTGATATGGTTAACAGACAGGCTCTGGGTGCTGCCTGCACACCTCTCCTGGCTCAGAGACCTGGTCTTGCAGGAAATATTTGAAGTTTTCACCAGAGAGCTTATACTTAAGAGCAAGATTCGTTTTAGGGTTTGCCTGGAGTGTACTTTAGTTATAGCAAAATAGCAAGGTCTTATTTAAGTACACACAGGTTTGAACTTATTGGTTTATAATTAAGGCTCCAGTAATTAAATGAAAAGATTTCCCTTTGTTTCTACCATAGCTGTTGGGCCTGGGGTTTGCTTGGATCAGGTATTGTATGGCATTCCTTCCCACTCACATGGTAACCTGCCAACAGGCAGCAACAAGGTCTCAGCTTTCTTCTAAATAATGTTACATGCTGCTCCACTAAATAAGACACTCCCTTCCCATTTTTTTAGGATCATTCATCTAAAAAAGGTAACTTAGCAGTCACTGCAGTTGCCTTACAGGACCACATATTACATGATCTCCAACTTGGACATCTCTCTGTAGCAGATCCTTGTAAGATAAAAGCAAAAAAGAAAGAGAACAAGTCAAAATCTCTCAAAAGAGATGCAACAGCCGTAATAGATACTGGGCTTAGAAAAACTACAGAGGGACCTAAAGTGGAAGATCCAGAAGAGGAATATGTTCTCGACCCCACACCACCACCGTTAACTTTAGGTAAGCTAACCTGCTCTTTTTTTCCTTTGGCTTAATTCTAACTAACCCAGTGTAGCCTTGTCAGGCTGGACGGTGCCCTGTTTACAGAGCTGAAGCAATGCTGTATTTGGGGTAAAAAGACAACTTTGGCATTTTCAGTTTATTGGCAGTCAGGTGTGTTGTTAATAAAGCTTTAATGCCAGCTCTTCATCTGCCAAGGTTGTTTTCACTCTGGAGGAAAAGTATTGGTGGAACTGTCCATAGACAAGATGACTGTGGGCAATACTCTTTGATGAAGTTGCAGCAGCAGAGGCAGGTGACTTGCTCTTGTGAGTCTGAATTCCTGAGTGTGTACATTGTGTCTGTAGCACTCCACATACTGCCAGAGTTGGATCTGTGCTTCTGTGTTTTTAAGTCCTGCTGCCTTCCTTTGCATATTTTATTGGCTTTGGGAGTCTCCTCCTCTAGCCCATGCTGGCCCTCAGCAAATGTCCTCACTTGAGTTGAGGCAGCAGTGTCTCCAGCTGTGCACAGGCCAACACTAATGCTCATGCTCCTCAGCCCAACACTTCCCTCGACTCTGTGTGGCGATCCCTTACTTGAACTAATTGTCTCACTGTTCCTTATCCTGGGGGTCTCCTGACGACATGTTCACAGGCTCGGCGCTTTTTGGGGAAACACTTTGCCATCAGCTTGAACAACATCCACAAATTTAGTGCCTTCTCCATTGTAACTGGATCCCTGTTATACACTAGGGCCATAACTTTTTCTTTGAAAGTCTCACTGTGTGGTTGAAGCTGCCTTAAATTCCATCTCCTCACTGCTGCTCCCACCGTAGGCTGATATGACTATTTCAGAAATACAATTGTTTTTTTCTATATTTGTAGTTTGGCACATAGAAGATTTCCTCTTACCTTGGCAACCTCTGCATGCAAATTTTTTCTGTAAAATCAAAAGCTTTCCCCGTTCCCACTTGAAGGAAGCTCTTTACTTCCTCTCTTGGGTACATCTGGGTGACTTCAACTCTGATGTGTTGCTCTGGAGTGACAGTGAACCCTAAGACTGTAGTACTGCCACGGTCTATCTTATCATCAAGACAACTTCAGAGGGACAAGGGGTACACCACATACACAGCCCAGATACACTAGACAAGAATGGATCATAGGGCAATGTGACATTTCGTTGTGCTGCTTAGATTGGAAAACAAAAAACCAAAAACTTACAAATTGGTTTTGGAATGTGCCCTTGATTATTTTCAGATGGTAGTTGACTGTAAATCATTGGAACCTCAGACAGTGCAACCACGGATAAGGAGGCATGACTGCAGTTGATAATTAGCTCACATTAATTCCCTGGTACCCATCATTATACCAGCATATTAAGACCACAGAATTCTTTATCGCATTCTTGCAGTCTTTTGTAAGTCTGAAATCATTTTATACTGGAAAGCTACAAATAAAAGATTCCTAGATGACTAGGCACGGAAAATAAGTCTGCTTATAGCTATTGTGTTGTAGTGTAGGTGTCAGAGACAGGAGGTAGTGGGAGGCCTGCACAGCAGAGAGAGGAAACTCACTCATTGCCAGTTACCTGGTTTGCACCCCTTTTGTTTCCTTTAGCTACTGGGATGAGGAGAAGAAAGTTTCCACATTTGATTACAAGTTCAGGATAGCCATCCAAGAGTGACAGACATCTTGAGAGAAAGCCTTGTCACTGATGTTCACCAAAAAAGCCTTTTCTCAGCTCCGATGCTTGTAGGGCAGGGTGCTATGGCAGATGTCTGCTTGTTCAGATTAGAGTCTGACCTCTGACAGTAGGAGTCACTTCATTACAGTAACACTCATCATTGCTCTAAGAATAAACAAAGACTGAGCTCATTGCCCAGGATGGGAGGCATTTCACCAAGACAGGAGAGGCCCTGACATTTTAGTGTTGGTATATTTTACCAGAAGTAAATCTAGTGAAGTGAATTAGGCTTCCATATATTAGATGTGAGTTTGGAAATTACAAATGTTGACATAATTTTTGTTTGTATGTTTTCACATGTGGAGGCATGCCATGTGCTTGTGGAGGCCGTATGCCAGTCACTGTCTGCGGAGGTCTGCATGACTCTGAATTGCCCTTTCCCAAGGGAAGAAGGAGTTGACAGCAAGGTTGGGGCTAGGGTAGTGACTGTGGTAGGCTCAACCAGCTTCCAGCAGTGAAAGCTTCAGGAGAAAGTGTCTCTTCTCCAAAGTGTTACAACTCTATATGACAGACAGACAGACACTCTCAGACTGTCTTTGTTTATTCCTTGTGGACAGGCTCTTACATACATTTTGGGGTGGTTTGGGGTCTAAAGGCAGGGGCTATTGGCTTGATCTGAGATGTTAAGGATGCCTTATCTGCATGTGGAGGGGCTTTGGGTGTTCCCCATATATGACTGACTGGTACAGCTCTCTCCATTGGGTGTCATGGTCACATGTCCCAAGACAGGAACCTGGTTGGAAGTAGATGCAACTCCTACCATCCTTAGGTATGAGGATGGTACCAGGGTTTCTGATCCACTCAACCTTGCCAAGTTTTTGTCTGGTGACACAGTTCCACTTGCTCCACAGCTAGAGGTTGGCATCACTTATTTTTTGAGACAGAGTCTCTGAACTAGAATTCACCAGTTAACCTAGACTAGCTGGCCAACAAGCTCTAAGGATCTCCTGTCTCTGCCTTGCCAGCACTAGGATTATAGGCACATAGTACCACACCAGCCTCTTACATAGATGCTGGAGATAGAACCCACGCGTATGTAGATAGCATTCTACTGACTGAGCTATCTCCCCCATTTCTGACATGCATTTTATGATTATTTCCTCTATTATTTTGTATTTTTCTACTTTGTGGTTTGCATTTTTATCTAGGCCAGTTTCATTAGAAATGTCTCTTTTGAGAAAAAACATCTTGGATTCTATCTACCGTTGGCTCTGGTTTTATGTTGGCTCCTGATTTCTTGGAATTTCTGCTGTTATCTTTGTTACTTCCTATTTGTTTCTTTCCCTTTGTTGTGTTTCCTTTTCCTAACATCTTAAGTAAAACACTGTTTGCAAATTTTGTTTCCTGGCAGATGCATCCAGATAGACACATCCCTGAGAATTGCTGCTTATTCCCACATGGACACCAGTGCTGTCATGGCTACTCAGCTCTTAGTACTATGCATCTTCGTGTTGCTCTCTTGTTTTTTTCTGCATCCCAAATTATTCTGTCCCATGGGTATCTGTTCTGTGACTTTTCCTAAGAAGACATGGACAAGTCTGTTTACCTAGGAAGCATATCCATTATCTTCTAGCCTTTCAGAATACATTTGTACTTCTACCTTGATTTTTTCTATACCAAGAGTGCTTTCTGATAACCCTCTGTCATAGCTTCCCATTTCTATAACATTTATTGTATATCATTGAAGATCTTGTTCCAGGTTGATTTTTTTAATGTACCTTTACCATTATGTAGCAGTTTGGAGATAGTGGTTTACACTTACAGTCCTACCAGCCCTATGCCCAGGAATGCTTCAGGTACGTTTTCAAAGTGAGTCTCCCCGTGGAGGACCTCATGTGATTGATACTCATAAACTTAAGGAAGGAATGTTTCTTTGGGTAGCACGTGATTGATGTGCACTTTGTAAGGGTCACTAGTGAGGGCAGCAAGGCAGGGCTGCAGAATGACAGTTAAAATAGGTGAGAAACATGAAGGAAAGTGGCCAAAAACAAGCAAACAAAAGCAAAAAAAAATAATTGGTGTTCTTCAACTTCTGTACAACTGTCAGTCCTGCTTGCTTGAAAAGTCACTTAGCATTCAGAATGATGACAGTCTGTATAATAAAAACATAAATCATTATTGAGAACTTGAAGGGTCATCACTGCCTTCATCCCTTCATAGAAAAGCATCTTGATGAGTGTTGTAAAAGGTTAAGCTGTAATGCCTCTGTAGAGTATATCTGCATACAGATTGTCTCTTTAAAATGTGACTACGTATGCTAACACATGAGCTTACATTGTGTCTTGTCTTTCCTGTAGCCCAGAAACTAGGTCTCTTGGCACCTCCCCCCTTGCCACTGTCCTCAGATGAATGGGAGAGAGTGAAGCAGAGGTCACTTCTGCAAGGGGACTCCATGCAGCCATGCCCAATATGTAAGGAAGAATTTGAGCTCCATCCCCAGGTACATAGAAGACAAAACTTTAAACCAGCCAGGCACTGCTTCCCTAGTAATAGCCAGTGAGCCACGCAGTTCCACCTTCCTTGTGACTTTCAAGTGAGAGAGACAGAGACAGAGGAGGGAGTGGGAGGGGAGAGGAGAGAGAATGTGTATGTATCTGAATACCATCACTTGACAGTGTCCACTTACTGGTGTGTCACTTAAAGTTCAAGTATGCCATTTGCATGAAAGAATGCTTTGAATATCTTTAAAATTTTTATGTGAGAATCCTGGTGTAAAGTAAAATCTTTGTTCACACATCTATTAAAATACAAAAGGTGGTTATCCTGGTTTGAAGAAAGCTCACGACCTGAAGCACAGACCCATTGCTGTGCCTGCCTAAACTCTCAGCTGCACAGAGCCAAGGTCATTCATGCTCTCAAACTTTGTGGAAAACTGATGCTTTCCCCGCCCGAGGCTTCTGTAGAGTGTGTAGCTTTAGCTTCTACATGGTAAGACCTGAGACAGCAGCTGAGAAGATCCAGCATGCACTCAGGCAGCAGCTGAGAAGATCCAGCATGCACTCAGGCTTAGGTTCCCCCGAGCTTATGGGCTCTCCTGACTGCACAGACTTGAATATGCTTCATTATCAGCAAGGAAACTCAGTTACTACACTTTTGCTCTTTGGTAATGTGAATGACAAAGATGCTAGAAGTACACTGATTCTTCCTCGCCAAGAAGACCAAATCTTATGCAGGAGGTGGATATTGGAAAGATTTTCGTCAGCCCCTGAACCACAAAAGTGTCCTATGCAGGACAGTTTATAATTTAGTGCTGGAGTACAAGAAGATTGCACTAGCTTCAGCAGCCCTATTTATTGTGCTGTATGTGCTTAAACTAGTTGTATGAAGAATGAGCACGTACCTATCTCAGAGTGTACCGGCTGGCTTTGTGCCAACTTGACACAAGCTGGAGTTATCAGAGAGAAAGGAGCCTCCCTTGAGGAAATGCCTCCATGAGATCCAGCTGTAAGGCATTTTCTCAATTAGTGATCAAGGATAGGAAGGCCCATTGTGGGTGGTGCCATCCCTGGGCTGGAAGTACTGGGTTCTATAAGAAAGCAAGCTGAGCAAGCCAGGGGAAGCAAACCAGTAACATCCCTCCATGGCCTCTGCATCAGCTCCCGATTCCTGACCTGCCTGAGTTCCAGTCCTGACTTCCTTTGGTGATGAACAGCAATGTGGAAGTGTAAGCCGAATAAACCCTTTCCTCCCCAACTTGCTTCTTGGTCATGATGTTTGTGTAGGAATAGAAACACTAAGATACAAGGTTTGGGTACACATTTCAGTAAATGTCTTTTTTTTTTTTTTTGGTTAAAGATACTAACATTGTTGTGTTAATATTGCACTTAGTATTCCCACATTAGATTTCTTAGTTAAAAACAATTTTCCTGGGTTAGAGAGATGGCTCAATGGTTAAGAGTACATACTGGCTGTTCTCCCAGGAGACCCAGATTTGATTCCCAGCACACAAATAGTGGCTTACGACTCTACTTCCAGATCTTCTGACCTATGGGTATCAGGCATACAAGAGGTGCACAGACATACATGAAGGCAGAATACCCAATCACTTGAGTGAGTGAATGAATGAATGAATCGATCAATGATTTCAAGGTATTTTCAAGTAATCACCTCTGCAATAGAAGATACCATCTAAAATGAGAACAGAACTCATGTAATTCAGAACAGGCCAACTCAGAAACTATGGCAGAATATAAATGTCCTCACTTGTATAACAATCACCATAAACTGTTCACCTATAATGAATAATATGGACCTTTCAAAATATAATATTCTAATGTTAGAATTATATAAGAATTATATTATTCAGAGCAAATTGATATCTGTTGATAAAATGCTTTGAAAATTTATATTAAAAAGAGAATAATTGAGTACACAAATTATTTTAATACAATAGCTTATTAAATTTAAGCTTACAGTTTGCAGGGTTCAGAAAAAGTTTTATGGGGCTAGAGCACTGGCTGCTCTTCTAGAGTATTAGGGTTCAATTCCTAGCACCCACGTGGTGCTTACAACCACCTGTAACTCCAGTTCTAAGGGATCTGATGCCCTCTTCTGGCCTTTATGGGCAGCAGATGGATGTGGTACACAGACATACATGCAAGCAAAACACCCATACACATAAAATAAATAGTTTTTAAAGGAAAGGTTTTAGGTTTATGAGCTCTATTCTAAAATTCTTTCCCTTAATCCCACTTTAGAGTACAGAGTCACGGGGGATGGTCATGAAAACAGGAGACACGCCTCTGTCCACTCACCGTCTCCACAGCCCAGCACACCTTCAGTGGCCAGTGGTCTAAAAAACACTCTTGGGTGTAAAGTTTGAGTCAGAAGGGTGAAGTTTTCTTATGAACACACTTGCTTTCAATTTTAAAAGGAAAATGTAGTTTGGGTCCATAATGTCTTGCTATTTAAATGTAAGATTCTCAGAATTATGTCACAGTAAGCTGCAGTTTGAAGTTTAAGAGTGTAATTTAGCTAGGCAAGGCTCTAGCAAAGATGTTTGCCTATCACATCTCTGCTTATTCTCTTACCAAGGCCACATGGACAGTTTCCTGCCTGCCCCACCCCATCTACCTAGCAATGTCTACCTTGGCAATCCTTGCACTAGGTTAATATCAAGCCTGATGTGGTTTTGTGGTATTGGGGTCACTGGCTTTGTCTAGATGATGTGTTTATGCTATATTACCCTTGTGAAAGTGACCAGCTGTCTGCATGTTACCTTCCAAGTATTCAGACTGCTCTGTTAGCAGATGCATTCCTAACCTAGGGCTCCTGTTCTCTTCTGCTGGACAGGTGCTGCTTTCCTGCTCACACGTATTCCATAGGGTAAGTAATCCTCCCCAGACCTGGCCTCCTTCCCTCACTTATTTAAAGAGCCATTTGTTGATCCATGAGCCCCATTTGTAGTTAGAAAAATGGCTTTAGGCACCTCATCCTGTTGTGAAAATCATGGATTTTGTATGGCATAACCACAAATGGTTGTGTAGCAGACTGTTACCTTCACATCAAAGCTGTTGATAGCTTACTTCCTGCTGGCTGTTTGCTCTGCAGTCTTATACCTAGTATTTTACCTTCACGCCACATGACATTCAGAGGGTTTTGAAGTCTCTGTGTGCATGATCTCTGGAAAAATATTTTTGGAGCAAGTTTCACGAGTAAGGTGTTAACATCTGATGAAACTTCTTCATGATCTCCATTAGACAGAGTCTCAATATGAGAAATAGAACGCTGTAATTACACTAGAAGTAAAAATGTTTATAAATAATTACTTGCAAAGTTTTTTTTTGTTTTGTTGTTTTTTAGGGCAAAATCTCTTCATTTCCCTCCCCTACTTGCAAAGTTTTAAATAAAGTCTTTTTCTTCAGGCATGTCTTCAGGCTTTTGAAAAGTTCACAAATAAAAAAACCTGTCCCCTCTGTAGAAAGAATCAGTATCAAACGAGAGTGATACATGATGGGGCCCGCCTGTTCAGAGAAAAGTGTGCCACCAGGTAAGAGGGGCTCAGTGCCTTGCAGAGGGGAGGCAGATGTTTGCAGCTCAGGATGTGATTACTAAACTAGAGGAGCACCAGAATATCCCAGGCTGGGAGGAATACTGAAGTATTTGTTAAAATAGGCCATTAGGAGTTAGAGAGATGGCTTAGTGGGTAAGAGGACCAACCGTTCTTTTAAAAGACCCAGATTCAATCCCTAGCACCTATATAATGTGGCTTTCAACTATCTGTAACTCTGTTCCCTAGGAACTGGATGTTTTGATCTCCATGGGAACCAGACACACATATATGTAGCAAAACATTCATGTACATAATAGAATATTTTTAAAAATCTTAAAGTAAGGCTATTGAATGGTTATCATTTTTCTATCTCTATTTTAGAATCCAAGCCTATTGGCGAGGGCACATCGTTAGAAAGTGGTACAGAGACCTGAGGAAAATGGTCCCGCCTACAGATGCCAAATTAAGGAGAAAGTTCTTTGAGGAAAAGGTGGGTGTGTCTCACTACCTCTGCACACACATACGGTCTGTGTGAGTGAGCATCCAGGACTGGGGAAGCCACCGGCAGTGTGACTGCCACCCACTTCACGCTCAGAGCTCTTGGCTCAACTCAGTTGCCTCCAACCTTGATGCATGAAATGATGATATTCAGATCAGCATTGTGTGCTGTTAAGTCAGGTACCATCTGGTAAAGTAAGACAAAATTGAGATTTTACAACTCTTAAGAGCCCAGTTAATGCCTGCAACATCAGTGAAAATGAAGACCTCACTAACATCTCCCAATAGCTGGCTGGGCCTTGTGAGGTCACCATTTGACAGAAATAGACAGCTCCCGTCTGTGCTTGCTTATGCTCATGTACCACGTTTTATGTTCACTTGGTGGGGTGTGGGCAGGGCTTGTTTAACAGTTTTCTCTATCTCCACTTATACAAAAAGGACAGTTGTTGATATAACCAACCCCAAATCGCCTTTCTCATGCCTGTTCCAGCATGGCAGGCCTAGCTACCATGAGTAGGTGCTATGGGGCTCCTTTCCTGACCTGGGGTGTCAGTGTCACTGCTGGCCTAAGAATCAAAGAAATTATAAAGAAACACATCATAGGCACTGAAATTTTATAGTTGTTAAAAACAATATTTTTTTTCCAAGTTAACTTTCACGCACCTTATTTTAGGTTGTCAATGTGCTATATTTGTGGTAACATTGTGGTATCCCAACATGATACTCTCAAGTCACTGACAAACTCCTCAGTCAGATGTGGTGCTGCATATCTGTAGTACTAGCACTTAGGAAACTGAGGTAGAAAGATTGCTTGAATCTGGAGCTTGAGGCCAATCTGGGCATCATAGCAAGACCCTACTGTATAAGCTTCTCACAGCCTCACTGTGCTACCATGACTTCCGATAGCAGCACCATTGACACATTTAGTTTAGCTCTTTGTTGGTGAATGATCATAGACAGCATTTGTCTTAGTCAGGGTTTCTAATCCTGCACAAAACATCATAAGCAAGAAGCAAGTTGGGGAGGATAGGGTTTATTCAGCTTACATGTCCACAATGCTGTTCATCACTAAAGGAAGTCAGGCCTGGGACTCACACAGGGTGGGAACTTGTAGGCAAGAGCTGATTCAGAGGCCATAGAGGGATGTTGCTTACTGGCTTGCTTCCCCTGGCTTGCTCAGCTTGCTTTCTTATGGAACCCAAAACTACCAGCCCAGGGATGACACCACCCACAATGGGCTGGGCCTTCCCCAACTTGATCACTAATTGAGAAAATTCCTTAGAGCTAGATCTCATGGAGACATTTCCTCAAGGGAGGCTCCTTTCTCCATGATAACTCCAGCTTGTGTCAAGTTGACACACAAAACCAGCCAGTACAGCCTTTAATGAAATAAGTGGTTCCTTATTATCTGTTTTCCTAGTTATTGTCTTCTCTAGGCACAAGACTGAGTGACCATAGCCATATACTTTCTGGTCCCATCAGAGACTCATTTATCTCAGAGGAAGATATGAAGTATCTATGACCTTGTATGTGGCTTTGCCCATACCAAGGTGAGCCAGCCCAATTCAACTATGCTATAACAACACTGATTATAAAGCAATATGATTTTTTCTAGTACCTTTCCTAGGCAATAAAGGCACGCAATCACACAACAACAAACAAACAAAAGAAAACCCACAATTATTTGTTATAAGCAATACAGTTATTAGAATATAATTAGAACATTTGACATGTGGTTGTCACTCTGCCTCAGATTTAACTCAGAAAAACCCTGGGTTTCCTTGAAGAGTGGGATGGCATTAAATGTGATATGGATGCAAAGCTAATGGCATTGCACGCTGCAATATGAAGTCAAAATGGAGTGTGGGTGGTGACTAGAAGATGACTGAGGTACTGCTTGCCCTAGCCTGCACAAACTCCTGCCTCTGAATATAAGAGGGCAGCAGGAGACCTACAGGCAGAGGCCACAGAGACTATCTTCCAAGTTGGAGTTGACCAAGAAGAAAAAAGAAATATCTCAAACAACCTTGATTTCTCCTAGCCAAATAGGAAACACAAGCTATCAGGATTTCTAGAGAGCTTCCCTCGGCCTGTTTACTGGTGAAAAGCTCCCTGTATTCCCAAATTACAGGATTCTTTCTCAAATACTGCCATTTGCAGAAGAAATAAAATTGATTAAAAGTCCTGATCATTAACTGGATAAAAAGGGTATGTCTGTCTTCACTTCCTTGGATGGGCTGTTTCTCTTTCCCCGCATAGATGACAGCATGCTGGCTTCCCTTCCAGGTCTTTGCTCATTGGTCAAGATGATACCCTGAACCAAACCAGGAGTTTTGGGCCAATTTATAGTTTTCCAGACATCTCTCCTTAGAGCTCAGTTTCGGGTAGAAGTTCTTCTTCCATGCAGACTGATGTCTTGTACAGTTGTCATCTTTCTGTATTCTCCTGTGCATCATCTTCAGGGGCCTGATGGCCAGCCTTGTTCTCTCAGTCATTTTTAATAATTATATTTTGGGTTTATCTTGAGGTAGAGTCACAGTTTGTTGCCTAGGCTGGTCCTGAATTCATAAATTGGGAGTGTAAGCTGTGACTACAAGCAACCACCAGTGAGCCAGAAGCCCTTTGTAATTTATTTTTTAAGATTTATTTATTTATTTTATGTATATGAGTACACTGTAGCTGTCTTCAGACACACCAAAAGAGGGCATCAGATCCCATTACAGATGGTTGTGAGCCAACATGTGGTTGCTGGGAATTGAACTCAGGACCTCTGGAAGAGCTCTTAAGTCAGTGTTCTTAACCACTGAGCTATCTATGCAGCCCCCACCTTTGTAATTTCTAACGTGCAATAATAATATATGACTTATAAGTTGAAGTCATTGTTTGCGTTTGCAAAATTTTAAGCTAGTCCTGATAACTATCTACCTTCCATATGTGGATAGTTAATGTGTACATTAATAACTTTAGAAAGTCTGTGCTTTATAAGGGAATCATGATAATCAGGTGATAATCCTAACTACACTGTTTTTTATCTGTGATGTTTTGACAAAGCAGATTAACTTACATGGTCTGAGAATGTGCGAAAGACTCAATGCTAGGTAGCTGGTTTCAGAACCCAGTGATATTTTGGAAGTTTGTGAGGCTGCAGTCTGAAGCAAAGGTAGCCTCAGTAGTGTCTTAGGGTGGCCCCGATGGCTCTGCTCTATGTCCCAAAGCGTTTACAGATGCTGAAAGCATTTGTTATATCTTTACTTGCTACAAATTAACCCCACCATTAGTTTTCTTAGAGTTTTTTAAGTTCTCCATGTAAAAAAGTAAATTTTCAGTTTCTCTTAAGATTGTCAAGGAAAACTAGAACTAGCCATCAAATGAAAGCAGAGCTCTCTGCTCACTGCCACCTCCCATCCTGCAGGGAAGGCCTGGGAGCCCTTGCTGGCCCTCAAGGGACCCTCTGGCTTTATGAGTCTATTACAGTATCAATACCACTTTCCTGAAAAGGACAGCACAGTGGCAGTTGTGTTCTCTTTGGTCTGAGGTTCTTGATTAACAACCAAGAACAAAGTATTTGTTGTCCATAGAGAAAAACAGTGGAAGTGAAAGTCGATACACTAAGGAGGTCAAAGCTGGGGACACACAAGACTGAAGCAATAATGAAGTTTCCCATCAAAGAAAAGCCCAGGGTGGAAGAGACTGCGGCTCAATTCTACTTAACCTTTAAAGAATAGAAGCAGTGACTTTTTAAGCTACCCTGTCAAATAAAACGGGAAAGAGTGTTACTAAGCCCTGTCTTCAGTCAGTATTGCTCTTATTTTTAATTTTTACATAAGGATACAACAAGAAAATTACAAACCAATTCCTAATAAAATACTAGGCAAGCTGAATTCCATAACACATTAAAAAGATCATTGTGTTATGTCTCTGCTGGTTACTATTACTGTTGCTATAGTGAAACACTCATGACCAAAGGAGTTTGGAGAGGAGAGGGTTTATTTGGCTTATGCTTCATTGTCACTGTTAATATCAAAGAAGTCAGGGCAGGAACCTGAAGGCAAGAGCTGTAGACGCCATGGAAGGAGCGCTGCTTACTGGCTTGTGCCACCTGACTTGATTAGCCTGCTTTCTTGTAGAACCCAGGACCACCAGCCCAGATGTCGTACCATCCACAATGGGCTGGGCTCTCCCACATCATCAGTAGTTAAGGAAATTCCCTACAGATCTGCCTGACCTTATGGAAGCATTTTCCCAATTGAGGCTCCCTCCTCTCTAGTGACTCTGACTTGTGTCAAGTTGACAAATACTAGCCAGCATGGTTTCTGAATGATACAAGAAAATACCACTGGAAACAAAAGTCAGAAAGGTTTGTTTTGACTCCCAGGTTCAGAGGTTATTTCAGCACAGAGTGCCTGAAGGGGAAGTCCATCACAGCAAGAAATGAAGAACAACTGGAGAACTTCACCCATAATGGCAGGAACTTGGTATAGCGTATTCACATATTGGTAGTCAGATAGCAGGGCACAGACCCAGAATCAGATGTCACCTTCAAGGACTGAACCTAGTAGTAGACAACTTTTGCTAGCTAGGACACAGTTCTAAATATCTCACAATATCTTAATACAGTGACACCAGCTAGAGACCAAATGCTCAAAAAACTGAATCTATGGGTCATAAGTCACATTCAAACCATTATAACCATAATGAAGTTGATTAAATTCAGTCTTTCAATGTAAACGTGGTTCAACATCTGTAAAACAACAAATATAATAGCACATATATGCAGAAGCAGAAATCAATTATGGGATCATCTCATAGATGCAGAAAAGGCCCTTCCTTGACAGTTCAACATCCCTTCATGATAAAAGTCCTAAAGAAACTCAAGAAAGAACAAACATACCTTAACAGAATAAAGTGCATATATAAAAAAGTTTAGCCATCTTTATACTAAATGGGAAATCCCTTAAAACCTTTCTCCTAAAACCAGGAAGGAGACAGGGA